GGACCGTCGGCGGAGAGGAAATACGAGCTCAGCGTTTGCTCGGTGAGGGGAAGTGCCTGCCCCTCATTGGACGGCAGAGCTGTCCACTTATAAATGAAGAGCGTTATCTCAAGACTGTTTGACATCATCTTTCAAATCGATCTTTTTATTGACTTACACTGTTCCAGGTTACCCCATGTCTTCTCAGATTTCACCGTGTAGCATGTGACTTTGTTACCTTATAAACTAACTCTTTAATATATTGATACTATAATCACAATCAACATTTTATTGCACAACAAATATATATGCTTTCCCACTTAGTGCATATTAAGCAATCTTAAACTTTTATTCTATTTAAAAAAAAATAAAATAAAAAATCTCTCTCTCTCTCTCTCATATATATATATGTATATATATATACTCATTTACATTTATTGTTTGTCGAGAGCATCGTAGAGTAAAATGCCGGAGCTTTTATGCTGTTATAATGTGCCAAACTAATTGTTAAATATTCTTATGAATTAATAACTACACAGCTATTATTCATTCCAAGAGAAACAAGCTTTCCTTTTTAAATTCGTTGTTAATTATTAATACACGAAAGCCTTTCCTCATACTATTCTCATTAAGGCTCAATCCATCTAAAATCCTCACATCCTCACATTTTTTCAAACATTTTCCACTCGACGAGCCCAGATTTACCCAAATATAATGTGGTTCAACGTTTGAACAAACATAATAATTGCTGTGAAATTGTAGTTTTATATATGAAATACTTTTCTAGATTATTTATTTATTTTTGAAAAATTGTCCATCCAACTACTTTACCTTTCTTTTTTCTTTTTTTGACTTTAAAATCTGAGCCAATGTTTGAAAACGACACTGACGTCAGAAACCATTAAAGATAAAAGCCTGAAATTCTCACTGGTGTTTGTGGGATCTGTAACGTGGGACAGATATGTTGAAAAATAGCTGAGTATAAAATATTTTTAAACATTCAAGCTGTCCTGTAAAGTCCTATTAACACATACCAATAAAAATTTAAAAAAAAGAAAGAAAAAAGACTAGTGATAATTTTGAATGGTGTATCGTTGCAATTCACAAGTATGCAAAATGAAGCATATAGAATATTTTTAAGAAAATATTTTATCTTAAAATTTTTTATCACAAAAGTGAATAAAGTTATATTTTCACTCAACTTTCATGCTGGATTGAGCAAATATGACAACCCTTACCAGAAAAACAAAAATATCAGTATATAGTTTAGTCCAAATAGAACAGAAATGGTAACTATTTTAATAAATAATATTGTTAAATGTTTGCATATTCATATTCAGTTTTGAGAGCTACTCTACCACTGTTGTTGGACTTACACTGCCCTGGAGGAATCCAATATTTCACGTAAAGTTTTTAAACAATAGTAAAAGGTCTTAAAAGTCAACAAGTGCAAATAAAAAAATATTGCACATAAAATTAAATATGTCAAAATAACAGATCGATCTATCAGCAGTGATTAGATCGATCTGAACTTTGCAGTATTAAAGTTTTAGGCAAACCAGAGATGGAGCAGAAACCGCATGATGATTTGAGACGACTGATTAGCTTTTATTCCTGTGACCCCGTACGTCATTTTGCTTCTAAGCTATATACAGAAATGCAATCAGATGAACGCCAGATTTCTTATTTATCAGCGTTTTTGATCTTTCAAACTTTGACGTTTAAATCATGTTGTAGACTAAATGTTTAAATGTTTGACCACAGCTGATAGTGACTGCTTGGCCTTTGCCCAAATGCAGCCTGCACACTTGTGACACGGGGTTTTGTAATTCGATTTACTACTCAGAGAGAAGTCATCTGAGGCTTTATGCCTCTCGTGCTCTTTCTTGCCGTCACGTGGTGGCTCGAGAAAGAGCATGCCTCCACTGTCTGCTCTGCAGACACCCTGAAACCAATACTACTGATTATTTTGGATTGATTTGTACTATCACAGACTCAGTAATCATTTCAGTTATGTGATGAAAGAACATCATCAGCTACAACGTGACCAGACACCAATGATCGCCGTATCTCTTGTATTGATTAGGTCCAGAATCCTGGTCACTTACGTCGAAACATCACGAGGAGCAACAAGTTACCCCGATGCTGTCAATGATGACAAACCAATAACACGACTGGAGCCGCTCGTATTTTTCAGAAATATATTTTATAGATGATGTCAGAGATGAAATGTCCAAAGCGTAGGTCCCAAAGAAAGATAACATTTTTCATCAATAGAGACAAACAACAAACAAAAAATAACTTTTTTTTAATCCATTTACATGTAAACCAAGAATTGCTCTTGAGCCACAGTGGTTATATATATGTATAGAACTGGCCGAGGTGGGTGTGACAATCAAACGACGATGCCCTTTTTTCCCCCAAACCTTTTTCTCAACTGATTTCTCCAGCGCCCGTTTAGAAATCTGTGAAAGAGGAACATTCTTTGGGAGCGTCTTTAAGGTCTGAATGTAGCAGAGGTTTGGCAGAGCACGTTTCTCTTAAACACAGTTCATACAAGTCGTAAGTGCTTGAAACCACTTATCCAATAAGAATGATATTAAATGTTTCTCAGTGGAGTCATTTGGACAAAGTCTTTTGAATTGTTTGCCCACCAGAGAGGAAGAAAAAAAAAACATCCCTCCTGGTGCTCTTGGGAGTTGCCAAGGGAGGTTTTTTTTTCTTTTTTGTTTGTTTTTTAAATATATAAGTCCTCCAGTGTTCTTCTTCTATTGTGCAAATACACTTTTTGTTACACAGACAAGCAGGCATGCTGACTCACAAACCATGCAAAGAGTTAAAGTTTGGCGCGAGCAGACAGCAAAAAAAGAAAGTAGTAGTAAAAAAATCTACAACTTAAGCAAGTAACAAGTGGAATGTTTGGTTAGACATGAAAAATATCAACTTAATCGCAAATCTTACAAGTTTAGAAAATGATATCAACTCAAATTTAGACATTTCTTTCCTCTGGCCTGTACTGCTGCTCATCCACGTCTATTATTCTGCTGTAAGTGGACCCGTTTTGGTTGTAGACAGCTGGGCCTTCTCTGGCTACAGTTGGCCTGATATGGGATTTTTAAGACAGATACCAATATTTGTCTTTTTTAAAAATGTAAATGTTTTGAGATATCGGCTGATATTTTTTTCCTGTCAAAAAAACAAAAGAAATTTCCCTAAAATTTGTTAAGTGTACTTATTTATTTACTTGTCTAAGCTCTGCCCGACTGTGGTGGGTTTTAAAAAACTCAGCCTTTTCTGGCCATAGCCCGACTGATAAAGGATTTTTAAGACTGATACCAACATTTGTTGATCTGAAAATCCAATATTATGATATACTGGCCAATATACGTTTTTTTGGACAAACAAACAAATTTACCCTAATTTTTTGGGAGGTGTACTTACTTATGCTCTGCCCAACTATGCTCAAACCAGCTGGCTGTCTTTGTGGTGCTGCATAGCGGCCTCTGGTGGCCATACTATGTAATGTCAACACTCATAACTTGGTGAAGGGCGTTTCTCTTCTTTATTTTTTAAAATTCTCATTTATTGGCTGTTATAAATGCCATTACCAACAGTATGGCAAATAAGTAATTATGGTTGAAATTTTGATAAATCAATTGGGGTTCAAAAAAATGGGACTCACCTCGTGATGCTCAAAGACATAAAAGATATTTTAAAAACTCAGCAACAACGTGTCCTCCAAAAATCAAACATCTTCATGGATGATTTATTTATTTCTACTGACTAGATCCGCTAGCCAAAAAAAGTATGCAGATAGTATTAAAGCTCATATTAGGTTCGTTTAGCAACTGAACATGAAATCAGCTAAAAAGTTGTTGATTTTTGATTGTAAATCCTGTCAATCCTGTCATATTTGCAACAGTAAAGTGTTAAAACCCGTAGAACGTAAGCCCCCATTTATTAGTTTTAATCATTTCCTAAACTGTAACATCAAAAACCTCAAAAAGTTGCCATTTTATACAGAAATGGGTCAGAACAGAAACTCAGATCTCCCGAGTCTCCACTGACAGAAATAGCGAGGGCAAAAATACATCCGCATTACCCTCCGCAATATGGCATCTAAGTCTAATCACAGTTAGATGGATGTGTTTTGGTGGAAAGAAAAGAGCTTCTACATGTAGCTCCTCACAGCAAGATTTGTGGATATTTTTGTGTAAGTGGGTCATCTTTTTTTCCTCTTTTTGAGCAGCACAAGGAAACTTCTTTTTAGTCCCATTATAGTCAAAAGCCACAGGAATGTCTACAGCTGATATCATCAACAATGGGCAACTCGCACCAGAGCAATCTGACTGGATCAATCACTACAGGCCAGAGGAAACACACGCTCATCTGATTTGGGGGATGAAAAGTCCCTTTAAAAATAAACATGACAGTCGTCTTTAATCAGGTGTTTAACAAAGCAGTTGACAGATGGGGGCTCATTCGAATGTATTTGATCTACTCTTCGTGTCAGGTCAAAGCAGGAAAAAGGAAGAAGGAAACACCGACGTCACGGACGTGATAGTGCCACACATGCTTAGAGAAGGACTTTAAAATGATTGGCTGATGTTTTCCATCCCGAGCTGCTTTAAAAACAAAAAGAAAGAAATCCTTTCGTTGACATAGGTGTCCCCTTCTTTTCTTTTCCCACCACAGAAAACTCAGCTAGCTACATAAGGTGGCCTCTAAACCTTGTTTTGTTTGTTTTTTGGGTGTTATCACAGTTGAAAGGTAAGCGCATGTCGCACATGCACCAGAGGAAATGTTAGGCAACAAAGTGATCAATGTCTTGACTCTGTAGGTGTTTAAAAAGTCAACCGCGGTGCCGCGTAGTGACCACTGGAAAACAGTGCAGTCGATGACGAGTTAAATATGCTGCTTTTTCAAAGTTCATGGAGTAACGTCTTACACCATACCGCTTTGCCTTTTTTTTGCTCACAATATCATAGCTGTCATTAGTTTAGAGTACATTTATAAATTTTTCCATATACAAATCTCCTATAAACAGTACATGTTATAAATACATCATTGATGAAAATGCAGAAAGGCTTCAGGGAGCCGTAGAAAGAAAGAAAGAAAGAGTTGCTCCTTAGTTTTGATAAATACAAGAAAGAAGGAACAACAGTACTAAGGACGTGAATGGCAGCCCTATAACTATTCAGAAAACGGATAAAAACACAAAATCTATGGATGAAAAAGTTAGAAAAATAATTTTATACAATAAAAAGTCAAAAAAAAAAAAAGGAGTGGACACGCTTACCAAACACACTTCTGATGTTGCAGAATTGACAAGTTGATGTGAAAATCATACATGTAAAATACAAACAAAGACAATACTCGATTACTGCCTCTCAAAATATATTCAATTCAATATACATGGCTGATGTTTAGCTCACAATAGTAACCAAGGTAGTTGCCAACCGGCAAAGCATGGGCTCGGCACACACACCTGATCTGTGGAGGAGGAAATCAGTAAACATTGAACTGGGTATTGGGCGCCTTGTCTTAAAGGGCCAATACGTGAAATGTTTGTCGGCTCGCCGTCTAAGTGGAGTTAAGTGCTGCTGTAAATCCAAACTCATGCTTTGGCTTTCTCTTGCTTGGCTTTCTCTTTTGGATAACATTCAAAATATCTTGCAGATAAAAAGAAACAAACAAAAAGAACGTGTCTGGCCTCTCTGCTCAAATGCATGCGTTTTACAAAGC